TTAGTGTTTTAGCTATTGATATACTGTCAGTATCTCTTGGTATTAAAAATTAAGCCCAAGATGGGGCGCCTGGGTGGCTCAGTCAGTTGAACATCTGACTCTTGATCTCACCGAAGGTCTTGATCTCAGGATCGTGAGTTCAAACCCCGTGTTGGGCTCCACGTCGGATGTGGAGCCTACTTTAAAAAAATAAAAAATTAAGCCCAAGAAATTAAAAAATATTTATTTTAAAATAACAAACCCATTAAATGTTAACATAAATAGTATTTTTTTTTTAAGATTTTATTTTTTTGACAGAGACACAGCAAGAGAGGGAACACAAGCAGGGGGAGTGGGAGAGAGAGAAGCAGGCTTCCTGCTGAGCAGAGAGCCCGATGCGGGGCTCGATCCCAGGACCCTAGGATCATGACCTGAGCCGAAGGCAGACGCTTAACGACTGAGCCACTCAGGCGCCCCAACATAAATAGTATTTTTTTTTAAGATTTTATTTATTTATTTGAGAGAATGAGATAGAGCATGAGAGGGGGTAGGGTCAGAGGGAGAAGCAGACTCCCTGCTGAGCAGGGAGCTGGATGCGGGACTCGATCCCAGGAGCCTGGGATCATGACCTGAGCTGAAGGCAGTCGCTTAACCAACTGAGCCACCCAGGTGCCTGCCCCACAGTTGGCATTTTTAATTTGCAAATCTCTTTAATTTCTGGCTTAATAGAAGATATTTGGATTCTGCTTCTGTGTTCAATCGGTTGTGCTATCACAGGTGAGTGAGCCAAAGAAAAAGGCAGAAAACATCTTAGTATTATCATGAAAATAGTTTTGACCTTGAGAGTACTCTGGAAGGGACCACATTTTGGGAACTGCTGCTTTAGGTCCTAGCCTTCAGTGGTCTCAGTGCAAGCCTGGTGGATGCTTCACGGGGCTCCTCGTCCCAGCCTCCCAGCACCAATGCCCAGCTGAACCTTTCCTTAGTTTTTCAGTATCTTGTAAGTGGCTTTCTGCTTGATTCCTTTGCCTCTCAGCCCTACCTCACATGCAGCTCAGGAATTGGCGCGTGCCACAGAACGTCCACCTCATGTTTCTGCATTTTCCTTTTGTTTCTTGATCTCTGGAATCCTAGCTGCCTTGGTGACCCTGAGCCCCCATTTTGCTTTCCCCATCCAGGGAGGCCGCCAGAAGGTCCTGCCCCAAGGGGAAAGGCAGAGGCGAAAGAACATCTCTCTAGGATCTTGGCTCCCAAAGCTGAGGCTGCTCTTGTTACTCTCCAGTACTTTCAAACTAGGCTTTTTTTTTTTCCTTTGTATTTTATTCGGCTCATACAGTTCTTCACAGAGTGTTGGTCTGATATAAAGCCTGCGTCATAGCTGGGTGTGGACGTCAGCACACAGTTCTCCAACTTGCTTTTTAACTTAAGTTCATCCCAGAGATCCTTCCCCCCTCTTCGTTCTTTCTCAGTCCTTGATGGATAGGACGTTGGCGGTTTAATTACATGGTTTCCAGAGTGTGTCTAATTACCGGTGTGAGCTTGTATACGTGCACATATGTGTGTCAGTTAGACTCCCAGGAGGGGAACTGCCACGTCTCTAATGCATATGAATGATTGAGAGCTGTCACCGAATTGGCCTCCATGGTGGTGAACCATTTCATCCTCCCCCCAGCATGTCTGAGAATGGCAAACTGGGTTTAGCCAAATGGCCTCATAGCCATGGCCAGACAGGAGAGGAGAAGAGCTCTCCCCTTCCCAGCTGGCCTCCGTGCCTGAAGCCAAGTCACACTGTGGTCTCTCCCAGGACACCTTTGACATCCGGATCCTGATGGCCAAGTCTGTCAAGTACACGGTGAACTTCTTAGAAGCCAAAGAAGGAGATTTGCACAGGTACCAGCACCCATGCCCCTCCTGCTAAGCCTGGCTCCTGCTGGGTCTAGGGCCAGCACAGACTCCCCCAGGCCTCCTGCCCCAAGGCGGGCAGGCAGGGGCCCCGGGACACTGCACCCAGCCACCCCTCTTCTCCCCTGGCAGTCCCTGTTTGGCTTCCCCAGCAATCACTGCCCTTTGCCTTCCAGGATAGAAATCCCATTCAAATTCCACATGCTGCATTCTGGGCTAGTTCACGGTCTGGCTTTCTGGTTTGATGTCGCCTTCATCGGCTCCATGTGAGTGCAACAGTGCAAAGCGTGCTGCGTCCTCCCTGCCCCGGTCCCAGGGGCTTCCCTGCAGTTGTGACCCCCAGGCCTGGCTGGGGGCTGGGAGAACATGATAGGACTCCTCTAGGCTCCCTGTCCCCCCCCAAAAGCAGTGAGAGCTCCCCCTCTGAGCCAGAGACTGTTGTGGGAGGGGGTGTCTACTCTGTTCTCAGTGACGGTCCTTTATGGGACCTGGTCTCTGTCTCTTGGCACAGAGGTCAAGTGAGTGGGCCCCTCATGGCTGCGGATCTGTGTGTGCGGGCGCACGTGCACATGTGTGTGCCTGGGACGCCTGGGCAGCCAGCCTGTCTCAGCTCCAGGGCCCCAGGGGACCCATCAGAAATGCCTGGGAAGAGTTCAAGGTGCACAGGGTGGTGGCTGCAGCCTGGTCAAACGTGTGCCTGTCCTTGCTTGGCAGAATGACAGTGTGGCTATCCACGGCCCCGACGGAGCCCCTGACCCACTGGTACCAGGTCCGCTGCCTGTTCCAGTCACCACTGTTCGCCAAGGCCGGGGACACGCTCTCAGGGACATGTTTGCTTATTGCCAACAAAAGGTGTGAGCTGCCACCTGGGGCGGGGGGAGGCAGGGGTCCGTCTCCCCAGCCAGCTCATGGCCGTCCTCCCCTACCCTCTCTGCAGACAGAGCTATGACATCAGTATTGTGGCCCAGGTAGACCAGACGGGCTCCAAATCCAGTAACCTCCTGGATCTGAAAAACCCCTTCTTCAGGTAGGATGGGCCTGCAGCCTGAATGGCGGGGGGGGGGAGGGGGTGCCCCTCTTGACCCGCAGCATCTCAGCCCTGCCCACTGGTTGGTCGGTCTGTGCTGCAGATACACAGGCACGACGCCCTCGCCCCCGCCGGGCTCCCACTACACGTCCCCCTCGGAGAACATGTGGAACACGGGCAGCACCTACAACCTCAGCAGTGGGATGGCTGTGGCCGGTGAGTGGCCCCTGTGTGGCTGGGGCCGGGGCGCTCCCTGTTGGGGCTCTTCTGCCCCGGAGGACCTGGTCTGCTACACCCTGACCTGGCCCTCTCTGTGCACAGGGATGCCAACCGCCTACGACCTGAGCAGTGTTATTGCCGGCGGCTCCAGTGTGGGCCACAACAACCTGATTCCTTTAGGTGAGCGTCCCCTGGGGTCTGGGAGCGGCGCGGTGGCGGCCACAGCTCTCTAGGACTTGGGCTTTCTGCACCGCGGTCTCCTCTTCCGGGGGGGCCCCCAGCGGAGGCCCTGCTGTTCTCTCTGCCTCACTCTGCAGCCGCTGCGCCCACCCTCCCCACCCCCGGGGTGAGAGCCTGGGCCGGGCCGGGCTGGGCCGGGCCGGGGGCGGTGACGCCGTCTCCCTTCCTTCCTCCTTCCCTCTTGCTGCGCAGCCAACACGGGGATTGTCAATCACACCCACTCCCGGATGGGCTCCATAATGAGCACGGGGATTGTCCAAGGTAATGGTGGGCGGTGGGAGCGGGGTCCCGCAGCTGTGAGTGTGCGGACCCCTGGGCCACCCACCTGCTCGCTCGCTCTCTCTGACTCTGCCGCGGGTCTGGGTGGGCGGGGGGGGCAGAGCCGGCCCCTCAGTGCCTGTGCCGCCCCCTCTTCCTCCCCCCCCCCCCACAGGGTCCTCGGGTGCCCAGGGCAGTGGCGGCAGCGGCTCCAGCGCCCACTACGCAGTCAACAGCCAGTTCACCATGGGCGGCCCCGCCATCTCCATGGCCTCCCCCATGTCCATCCCAACCAACACCATGCACTATGGGAGCTAGGCCCCTCCAGCGCGCAACAGACTGACAGCACCAGGAAACCAAATGAAGACCCTGCCCACCCCCCCCCCCCCCACCCCCGCCTGGGCGGCCTTCGCCCCTGGGCCGGAGAAGCCCAAACACCGGCCACAGCCCTCTTTGCTATGGGACTTGGACACTTTTTTACACGACATCGCCGCCGCCGCCCCCACTCCACCGCCCACCCACATCTGGGCCCTGAGCGCGTGTCGCTGCCAGATTTTACACAAGATCATGTCGTGGGAGCCCTGTTTCCCTCTCCTGCCCTCCCCCCTGACCTGGGTTTGACATCTTCTGTAACAGGCGTGTCCGGGCCTGACAGCTGCAGGCCTGGCGGGTTGGGGGGGGGGGAGCAGCTACCACCCCACCCGGTCCCTTGGCGCCTGTCCTCCCCCCCCCCCCCCCCGCCTGTCTCCAGTGGGGAAGGCAATCCTGACTGGGTGGGGCCTCCCCTTCAACTACCAGGCCTTGGTCACAATGGGCGTGACATGCTGCTTTTTTTAATTTTATTTTTTTACGAGAAGAACCAGTGTCAATCCACAGACCCTCTGAGAAAACCAGGCCGGCCGGGCCGAGCCAGCAGCCCCTCTCCCCCGACTCAGAGGCTCAGTGGTGAGGGGCAGCCCTGCCGAGTCTTCAGGACAGGGGTGGGGCCAGGCCTCTGGAGACCCGAGAGGCCCCCTGCCCCACAGGGTTCACCTCACACTTGAATGTACAACCCACCCCGGCTGTCGGGAAGGCCCTCCGTCCTCGGCCCCTGCGGGCCCCCGCCCCGGGTTAGAACAGGGGGCCCCGCGGGCCCCGGGCCTGGAGGGGAGGGTCACGGTCAGCCGCTTGGGGCAGACGTGAGAAACCTCAAGGATCGATCGCAGAAGGCGTCCTTTCTCCTTGTAGCTCACTTTAGGCCTGTGTATTTCCCTCAACATTTGTAGACGCTCCAGTCCCTGTTACTATGATGGCATTTTGGTCACTCCCCAGCCTGGGAAGGGGCCTTGCAGGGACCTCCGCCCCCCCCCTCACGAAATAAATAAACAAGGAAATGTATGTTTCAGCAGAGGCAATGTTCTTCTACTTCTCCCCCCGCCCCCCATTTCTAAACATCTCTGAACACGGCTGTGGTGGAGCTCAGGCTAGACCCCGGGACCTGCTCCCTGGGCACCCAGGAGGGGCAGGCACCGTTGAGGCTGGGGTGGCCCCCTCTGCTCTCCCGACCATCCCATCAGGGAAAGCAGAAGGCCTGGCAGGGAGCCCAGGGGGTGACAGCCACCCCAGAAGGCTCCCTGCTCAGCCGCCCCTTTCCCACCTTTATATAAATTCTCGAAATCACCTTTGCATAGAAAATAAAAGTGTTTGCTTTGTAAGAAAAGTCTGAAAGTAGCAGAATGGTCTCGAGGTGTCAAGGGAGCCTTCAGTCATCGTCTGAGGGGTAGGGCAGGCCGAGGTGTCCCCTCATGGTGAGCCTGAAAGAGAGAGACTCCTGGGAGCGGCCCTGTGGCTCCTCGCCTCGAGGAGGAAAGGCGGGAGCAGCCCCTCACCTGCGGGCTCGGGCCTTCCTAGGTTGTCTTGGCTCTTGGGGTGGGTGACAGCAGCAGCTTTGGGGGCAGAGACGCGGCCTGGAGCGAAGGCGCCAGGTGCTCCAGAGGCAGTGGCCGGAAGAAATAGAACTGAACCAAAGCCCTTGGGGTCAGTGTTGGTGGGGGTCAGTGACCCCCCCAACCCCGAGGCCCAGCCCTGACCGCCGGTACCTTGCAGCCCACGGCCAGGAGGGCATGGAGCAGCACAACAGCTGAGAGCAGCACCGCGGCCACCAACCTGGTGTCCTCTCGGACGACCGGCCAGAGGGTGAACACCAGGGTAGCGGCCGACAGGGCCAGGGCCAGCGCCCCGAAGAGCCACTGCAGCCACGGGACAGGGATGAGCCACAGGACCTGGGGGCGACACAGGCAGCTGGCCACCAGGCCCTCCGCGCGGCACCTGTCGTCCCCCTGCCCGGGGCCACACTCACCACGGTGGGGATGAAGACGAAGAGGGAGTAGCCATAGACGCACACGGTCTCCAGGAAGGTGTAAGGCCCCATGCGCTCCCGGACCCCCTTCCGCCACCGCAGGAAGCCCCACAGCGCCAGCGGCACCAGCCAAACGTAGCAGTAGATGGTGACGCCCGCCACGGTCACTGTGGGTCAGGGGGCGAGGCGGGCCGTCACGCCCGGGGCTCCGCGGCACTCCCAGCTCGGGCAGGGCCGGGGCCTTGCCCACTTAACTTACCCTTGTGGAACTGGGGGCTGTAGTGGATAGAGGGGTCTCTCCTCTGGGCCAGCACCAGGGTCAGGTTGCCAGTGATGGCCAAGACGAAAGCCAGTGTGGCACAGATCCAGAAGGGGCCTGTGGGCAGGGCGTGGTGAGGAACCCAGGGCTCCCAGGACGGATGACCTGTCCCATCCCAACCGTGCTGGGCCCCGAGCCTCTTTCTAAGCTCCGAGCTACCTCCACTCCCCCTCTGAGCCTTCCCCACATCGCCAGTGATGACCTGGGGTGGCTGAATCCACTGCTGGCTCTCAGTCCCTCAGTTTTCCTGACCTTTCAATAGCCTTTGCTGTAGCTCGTCTCTGTCTTCTGGAAACACTCCCCCTATGCTTTCTAGGACTTCATGCTCCTGGCTCCTGCCACGTCGCCTCCCGGGAAATTCCTCAGGCTCTGTGACTCCCTGACCCTTTAATAACGAGGACGCCGCATGGCACAGTCCTTAGCTAGCCTCTCCATCTGTTCACCCTCCACGATCCTGTCCAGTATCAGGACTTTATGTCACCTCTAGCCTGATGTCTCCCAAGTATCTCAACTCCGGTCTGTGCCCTGAACCACAGGCTTACAGTCAACATCTCCCTGTGCACAGCTAGGCCTCTCCAACTCCACCCTCGTTGCCCTCCCCTCAAACCCACCCAGCCTTTCCAGTCAATAAATGACAGTTCGATCCTTCTCGCAGTCCCGCTGAAAACCCCAGAGCCACCCTCGCCTCTCTCCTCCCACCCCACCTCTGACGGGTCAGGAAATCCTGTCAGCTCCACCTCTGAGACCTAGTCCACAGTCCAACCGCTGCTCCCCACCTGGGGCTGGGCCCCACCATCGCACACCTGGACCATGGCAGTCACTGCCTCCCTGGTCTCCTGGCATCTGCCCTTGCCCCCCTCCCCCCCACCGCCCCAGTGGCCAGAGGAAGCCTCAGAGCCCTTAACCAAGAGTCCTTCTCACTGAGGCCTACAAGGCCGGTGCAGTCTCTCCTGTCACCTCTGTGACCTCATGCAGCTCACTACTCCAATGACAATACTGCCCCACCACTGAACCTGTGCCTCCTTCTGGAATGTTCTTCCCCTAGGTCTCCTCACCGCCATCCACACCACCAAAAGGCCCGTTCTCACCCTCACAGGGACTTTCCCTGTCCAACCCATGCAAAGTGGCAACTCAACGTCCTCTAAGCTGTTTGCTTTTCTTCTGAGCCCTGTGGCCCTCAGCAGCCTTTTATGTAACTGTCTCCCCAGACCGAATGTGTGTTTCCCGCTCTCTGGGAGCGCCCCTGCTTTCTTCTCAGCTGGAATCCACAGACCGGCACTCGGTCCACATGTGCTGAGTGAATTCTCAGGCTGAATGCACACCACCACTCACCATACAGGTCCGGTCGATTCCGCAGATGGTGCCGCACAAAGTTGTGGCCAGGCCGGGGCAGCAGTGAGCCTCGGATTCGGTCCAGGACCTGGAGACAAGGTGGGGCCCAGAATGGAAGCCTGCACGGGGCCCCTTAGCCCCCACAGAGGAAAGAGCCGACCTCCTGCGCTGCCCTTAGAGGCTCCTTCCTTGCTGACCTCCCATCTCCTCTGCCTGCAAGGGCTCAGATGTTCCCTCTAGTTCCTGACGGGCTGGAGCCCCTTCCCCTGGCCGGCCTCAATACCCCAGTGTGCTGCCACTCTGCAGGACTCTTCTGGGCCGGTCATCTTTCTCTTCGCTTCTCCCTTCTCTTGGCTTGGCTGCCCTGCACAGCCTGTCGTGCTGTGACATGTCTGGACTGTGAGGTGGGGAACAGTCAAGTCCTTGGCATCCTCCTGCCTACAGCTCTCTCCACTATGTCCCCTGTTCTGCGCCCCAGGTTTTATTTCCCTCCCTGGCCTGGGGCCTCTGCTCCACAGTCCTTGCACCACGTCTGCTGATTCCACTCACTCCTCTCCGGCTCTAAACCCGTCTACGGCTTCCCGGCACCCTCAGGATAAAACCCCAACTCCTTAGCACAGCATGCGAGGCCTCTGTGGTCTGGCTTCTGCCCGCCTGTCCCCCACCTCGCCCTCTCCAACCAGATCAAGTGGCAGGTAGTTCCTGTGACAGTTCCCACCTTCAGCCCCTCCACGTCTGCCGCTCCCTGTGCCCGTGACACGCGCTCCCCTTCACTCTGCCCAGCGCGGGCCTCCTCCTTTCCATCTCAGCACACTCCTCACCTCCTCCAGGAGGCCCTTCTCCAACCTGCCCGAGCACCTGTGTTCTGTGCTCCCACGAGCCCCGGTCACACCACCGTCCTGACTGCACACCACAGTTGGTCTGACCAGCCTGCGTGGGAACTCGTGTTCTGCCGCCCCCTCGCCCCGGGCATCACCAGCACTCCCAGTGCCCAGGAACGGCTCAGTGATGGTGGCTGGAGCCCCGTGTGACTGCAAACCCCTTCCCACCAGCTTCCCGGGCCTGACCTGGGACGTGTCCACGTCAAAGAAACTCTGATAGTAGCCAAAGGTCCAGAATCCCGGCTGCTGCTTCTCCTCCTGCAGAAGCTGCACAACATGGGCTTTCGGTGGCGGCCCTTACAGCCTGGGCAGAGGGTGGGCGCAGGGCTGGGGGCAGGCAGGGCCGCCACAGACTCACCGCTGTCCTGTCACTCTCCTCGGCCTCCTCCTCAGCCCCACAGCTGCCACCCGAGTCCACCACCACGGCCACGTGCCCCTGTGGGGTCAGCTGATCGCTTCCACGGGCCGTGGCTGCATCTGGGGTCTCGGCCAGCAGATTAGAAGCTTCCTCGAACTCTATCGAGAAGGCATATGGGACACACGCATGTTTGGGGAGTCAGGACAGTGGGGTTTCACCCAAGGCTCATCTGGGGGCCAAGACTCCAACTGGGGCCACCGAAGGGCCCAGCTTCCTAAGTTCTGAGCAGCTGGAAGGTGCGCTCCCCCACTCCTTGTAAGGGCCTGCGATTTAAGGCTGGTTCTGGGATGGGGTCAGGTCTGGGACAGAGGCTCTGCTCGGAGACTGGAGCTCAGGCTGGGAGCGGGGTTCGAGTGCGGGATGGGTACCGTGCCTGGGTCGGGGTTAGTGCTCACAGCTGACCGGGATGCAGGCTGGCGGTCAGCAGGAACCCGGGCGGGAGGTTCCGCCCGGCGGAGGGAGTGGGAGCTCGGGCCGGGTCGCCGCCGCACTCACCGTGGAAGGCCAGCTCGTCGGCCGCCGCCATGGCTGCTCAGGGGCGTCACCGCATCCCGCTCTGAGGACAGAGGCCAATGACGCCCGCCCCCAAGCCGGCTCGGTGCCCCTCCCGAGGCCTCTCCCTCGGCCCCGAGCCCCGCCCGGCCGCCGGGGCACCGAGCCGGGGGTGAGCTCGCCGCCGCCGCCCCCGCCCCCCTCACCTGAGGCTCCCTCGGCCGGCGCGGCCCAGGCCCTCTGCGCCTGCGCGGCCCGCCCCCCCGCCGCCGCCGACCCCGCTCAGACCGGACGGCAACATCCGCCACCGGTCCGTTTTCTAGCCTCTTCCGACGGGAAGCCTCTTCCGGCACTGTGGCCGCTTGCGCAGGAAGCTCCCGGGCCTTTTTCTTCGCATACCCGGCGTTTCTCCTCGGAAAGGGGACGCCAGGCCGGAAGAGAATGGCGACGGCCGCTCTGAAGAGATTTTGGTCCCGAAACCGTGAAGAGTCTGGTGTTCCGGCGGCCGCGAAGCCGCGCGTGTGGACGCGGTTGGGTGCGTAGCGGCGGGAGGCGGCGGGGGGTGGCCGCAGCGGCCTGCTCTCACCTGTTTGTTCTGCTTCTCTCCGCTCAGGTTCCTGGGCCCGCGTGCTGCTCCGAGACTACGCCGAGGCCTGCGGGGACGCGGCGGCGGCGGCGCGGGCTCGGCCCTGGCGGGCGGCCGTGTACGCGGGGCTGCTGGGCGGCGCCGCGGCCTCCTGCGCGCTGGCGCCGAGCGAGGCGGCCTTCGAGGAGGCGCTGCTCGACGCGTCGGGAACCCTGCTGCTGCTGGCCCCGGCCACGCGCAAGCGCGCCTCCGAGGACTACGTGCAGCGGCTGCTCTGGCTGCGGGGGCGCGGCCGCCTCCGCCACGTGAGCCTGGGCCCCTGCGCGCTCGTGTACGAGGCGCCCGTCGACGCCGAGGCCAGCCTCTACCAGGCCCGCTGCCGCTACCTGCAGCCCCGCTGGGTCGACTTCCCGGACCGGATCCTGGACGTGGGCTTCGGGGGCCGCTGGTGGGTGCTGGCGGCCCGGATGCGCGACTGCGACATCAACGACGAGGAGTTCCAACACCTGCCGGCCCGTCTGCGCGTCGTCGGGCCGCATCAGCTGCTTTCCGAGACCAACGAGCGGCTCTTTGATGAGAAGTACAAGCCTGTCGTGCTCACGGACGACCAGGTGGACCAGGCGCTGTGGGAGGAGCAGGTCTTGCAGAAGGAGAAGAAGGACAAGCTCGCCCTGAGCCAGGCCGACTCCCTGGGGCGGTCGGAAGTCCCTAGATGAGACCCGGGCCTGGGTCGGGATCGGGCCCCGAGCCCTGGCGGACCGGACCGTGTGCCCGGGATGGCGCCGTGGGTGTGAGCGAGCCTCACATGCAGAGTGACTGAACTAAATTACGTACAGAGTGTCCTTTCCCTGGGTTTTCACAGCCTTTTTGGCCACTCTCCCTCTCCTCTCGTTCCTTGTTAGCCGAAGCTAATTCAGAATGAGTTTGGTCTAGGTCTTCGTTGCTCTAGGAGTTGGGGGAGAGAGCCAAAGCGACAAGACCGTGTAATGTTTATCACTGCCGGACTTAGGAATGAGCCTTACGTACACGCATCAGCCTTTTTCTTTGAGCCTCGTAATCTCTAGACCAAGGTTAATTACACTTGTCAGGTGACTCCAAAGCTCTCCTAAGACCATTCAGATGTTCATTTTAAATCTGGAGTTGAAAAGTTTTATCTTTCAGGGCGCCTGGGTGGCTCAGACGGTTAAGCGTCTGCCTTCGGCTCAGGTCATGATCCCAGGGTCCTGGGATCGAGTCCCGCATCGGGCTCCCTGCTCCTTGGGAGCCTGCTTCTCCCTCTGCTTCTCTCTCTCCCTCCCTCTCTCTCTCCTCCTCTGTCTCTCATGAATAAATAAATAAAATCTTAAAAAAGAAAAAAGAAAAGTTTATCTTTCATTTTCACGAGTAGCATTTTTAGTGATTTTGAAGTAAAGTTAAAAAACAGCTCCAGGGGTACCTGGGTGGCTTAGTTGGTGCGTCTGCCTTCGGCTCAGGTCATGATCCCAGGGCCTTGGGATGGAGCCCTGCATCTGGCTCCCTGCTCTGGGGGGGTCTGCTTCTCCCTCTCCCTCTGCCCCTGCTCCTGTGCCCTCTCTCACCCTCTCAAGTAAATGAATAGAATCTTTAAAAAAAAAAAAAAGTTTCAGAGGAAAGTGAAAAAAATAGAACAAAGACGTTCTCTGTACCCTTCACCCAGCTTACTCCAAATAGTAATGTTTTACAATAAACCATACCAAACCAGGAGATTGCCAGTGGTATGACTACAGATTTCACAGGGAATCTTTTTGCAAAAACAGCCTTTTTGCCCCACATATGACAGTGATGTTAAAGTGATTTGGAAGGGAAAAGGATTTTTTGATCTGGAATTATCTATGGAATCATAGATTCTGTTTGTATTTCAGTAACCCTGGAAACCCAGAATCCTATGGGATGGGATAGGTTAGTATACAAAACTAGTACTTAGGTTGTGATCATCCTACTTTAAAAACCGAGGAGTGAGACTACCCGTTATCTAGGCGGCCTGTGGCTAGTTAATGAAACCAGGACATGATGGGCGCCTGGCTGGCTCAGTCGGAAGAGCGTGTGACTCGATATTGGGGTCATGAGTTCAAGCCCCATGCTGGGTCTAGAGATTACTAAAAAAAAAAAACCAAAAACAAAAATAGAAACTTAACCCATGAAACAACCATTTTTGTCGTGATGTTTGACTTCATGTGTTTTGCCATTCAGTTTTGGTACTTAGACCTTCCATTTATACTAGGGGTATGCTGGGCACATGGTGATTTTTATATCCTTATTTTGGGGACAGGAGCATCTTGTAAGTCAAAATCTTCATTTTACAATGGAAAGGCTGATGTTCAAAAAGTTGATTTTTCCAAGGCTATGGCAGAGCCATGATTCAAACTAACGCCCAACCCTGTGCCTTAATCCTCAAACTCAGTCTCCTATATTTGATCCTAATAACATCTTGCCAGACATTAAATGCTGCTATCATTAACCATGAATAAAACTTGGAATACAGAAATAAGTGAATATAAAAAAGTGTAATGAAAACAAAAGGCAAATGATACTAAATTATAATCTTATAGTGTTACCCCAAAAGCTTGGCCTAAATCCTGTTGTTTCTGTTCAAGAAAGCAATCTTAACCAACCTCAGGGAGAGGTTTAAGACACCCTGGCATCAAGTGAGACTTGTTTCTCACTGTGATCAGTTTTTTTTTTTTTAAGATTTTATTTGTTTATTTGACACACAGCGAGAGAGGGAACACAAGCAGGGGGGGGTGGGGGAGGGAGAAGCAGGCTCCCCGCTGAGCAGGGAGCCCGATGCAGGCTCGATCCCAGGACCCCGAGATCATGACCCGAGCCAAAGGCAGACGCCCAACAACTGAGCCACCCAGGCGCCCCTCACTGTGATTGGAAGTATTGAGAGAGAGAGCTTCATGGGTTCACTGCCTGAGTTGGTTATTAAATGCCACTGCTGACATTCAGCCAGGGTGTGTCCCATGCAGACCCCCTGTAGGTGTGAAGCTCAGAGGAGTAGTTGGCAACAAATGACAACTCAGTGTTCCTAGGGATTTGGGGGCTTAGTGTAGGCCTAAAGTCCGCATGGCTTTGTCTTTGGTTGGAAGGTCAGCCTTTCCCAGAGGAGTCCTACCATATTTTTGCTCCCCTCTCCAGTACCTCTTGCCTCCTGAGTTGTTGGAAAGCTCATGGACTGGAACTGTTAGATCAGACAAGGGGACTGGATGTTGGGGTATACACAGGCTCCAAAGGATGGGTCCAGGTGTCCTGTTCACTGTTGAGTTCCCAACACGCTATAGTGCTCAGTCCAGTGTGGGCCCTAGCAAATGCTGAAAGAGTTAAAGGAGAGGATTCATGTGTCCATTGTGGGTAGGAGCTCCGTATGGTCCTGCTGGGGAGAGGGAAGCAGGACTAGCTTCCCATCCTTCGGTTAGCGCAGAAGAGGCCCACCCCCTCCAGACTCTACCCAGTACCAGAAACAGCAAAGTGGACAAACTCTCTTTCCATAAGGGCACTAAGGCCTGGGGAAGAAGTGGGACTTAAAAGTAGGGTTTGAATCTCAGCTGTTGCGCTAGCTTTGTGGTTGACCTGGGCCAGAGCAGTAAGATGAGAAGAAAGAAAGCCATCCAAATTGGAAAGGAGGAAGTAAAACTCATTATTTGCAGATGACGTATAGAAAACTCTCTATAAAGAGCCCACCAAAAAAAGCCCCGATAGAATAAATGAGTTCAGTAAAGTTGAAGGATACAAAATACACAATGTTGCAGCGTTATTAACACTAACAACGAACTAACAAATTGAGAAAACAATCTCATTTGCAATTGCATCAAAAACACCACTTAGAAATAATTTTAACCAAGAAGCTGAAAGACCTGTACGCTGAAAACTACAAGACATTAATGAAAAAAAAAAGTGAAGACACATAAATGTAAAGATATTTAGTGCTCATGGATGGAAAGAATACTGTTAAAATGTCCATACTACCCCCAAACAATCTACAACTCTACCAAGATTCCAATGGCACTTCACAGAAATAGAAAAAAAGAAATCCTAAAATTTGTGGGGAACCACAGAAGCCCTTACATAGTCAAAGCAATCTCAAGAAAGAACAAACCTGGAGGCATCACACTTCCTGAGAAAGTATATTACAAGGTACAGTATTCAAAACAGTATGGTATCAGTACCAAAAAGACATGCAGATCAGTGGAACAGAACAGACAGCCCCGAAACAAACCCATGCAATATGGTCAATTAATTTACAACAAAGGAGCCAAGAACATACAGTGGGTAGAGGACAGTCTCTTCAATACATGGTGTTGGGAAAACTGGACAACCACATTCAAAAGAATGCAACTGGCCCACTGTCTTACACCACACGCAAGAAGTAACCCAAAATGGGTTAAAGAACATAAGACCTGGGGCGCCTGGGTGGCTCAGTCGCTTAAGCGTCTGCCTTCGGCTCAGGTCATGATCCCAGAGTCCTGGGATCGAGCCCCACATCGGGCTCCCTGCTCCGCCGGAAGCCTGCTTCTCCCTCTCCCACTCCCCCTGCTTGTGTTCCCTCTCTAGCTGTGTATCTCTCTGTCAAATAAATAAATAATAAATAAATATTTTTTTTAAAAAAAAGAACATAAGGCCTGAAACCATAAAACTCCTAGAGGAAAACAAGCAGTAAGTTCCTGGACATCAGTCTTGGTGATGACTTTTTTGGATTTGGCACCAAGAACACAGGCAACAAAAGCAA